CTTGATGCGTGAACCTAGAGTAGGGGAGAAACTCGATCAGCTAACATGAAGACAATGTTGCAAAGAGTAATCATATATGATCGAAGTCACCGATGACGATGCGACTTAGATGCTTCTCGTGCGTCTTATATATCATCGAGTAGGAAAGAATTGATAAAGAAATGTTAATTTAGGAAGGACTCATAACTAGATTGAATAATTGGGCCCACATTAAGGTTAACTTGTCCATGTGGAAGTTGACAATGAATAAACTAACAAACGTAAATCTTGATAAGTGGAGGATTGAGGTGGACTCTCCTTTGTTAGTAGTTGTGATACACTTTGAAATTATTAGATCATTTTTTTTCCTATGCCCGATAATGGTCTAAATTTGGAAGTTAATTTCAAAGTGGTGGAATCTTGATATACATGGCATGTGATATTATTTGGACCTTCTGCAATGGGAAACAAGTATTAGCCAGAAAAAAGATTTAGACAGTCATTCTTACGACATGTTAAGTACATTGAAAGTTCATAAACAATATGATTTTTAGAGCGAGTAAGCCAAAGAAAACAATTTTGTTCGATTTATAGTTTTCTAATCTTTATTTTGTTTTTTTTAGGGAAATCTCCGAAAAAGTCCCAATATTTTACCCTAGTTTACGAAAAAATCTCAAACTAAAATTTGTTTACGAAAAAGTCCCAATTACCGGTAAAAACGACGATTTGGTCCTATTTTCCCGATTTACCGGTTTCATTAATTACCGGGTTTTAATAAAGTCTCATTATTTTACCATAATTTACGAATAAGTCCCAAATTATGATAAAATAATGAGACTTTAATGAAAATTATGGTAAAATAATGGGACTTTAATGAAACCGACAAACCGGAAAAAAGGGTCAAATCGTCATTTTTTCCGGTAATCGGGATTTTTTCATAAACCAATTTTAATTTGAGACTTTTTCGTAAATTATAGTGAAATATTATGACTTTTCCGAAGATTTCCCTTTTTTTTATAGACGTGTTAAAATTAAAGTGAATTGGATCAGTTGGATTTAAAGTCCTATCCTTACTATTGCTTCTTCACTCGTAAATTTTATCTTTTATTAGATTCTTAAGTAAAATTCAGCGGTTTCAAAACAAAACTTTTACAAATATACCAAATAACACATTTTCTAAATTTTACTGGATATTTAGAAATAATTAAATATAGAATAAAATAGTTTGCTCACAAGAGAAATAATAAGAATAGAGGAAATGGGTGCGCCAAATGTTTGGTATGCGCTGAACGCTGACCCTAATGCGCCAAATATATATATACTAGACAAATTCCTGTGCGCGTTGCACAGTGAAGATTAAAAATATATTGTTAAAATGTTGAAAAATATATGTTTAAAATGATTTAAAATGGTTATGTTGTTGACATTAACTTTGAGATAATATTTTAACACAAAATTATATATATATATATATATATATATAATATATATATATATATATATATATATAATCTCAATTATTTTGAACAATAATATTCATTGACATCAACCCACATTCATCATTAATAGAATTAAATATAATTATGTATTTAGTATTATTTTTAACAATTATTATTATTGATTAATTATATTTTTACTTATGCGATCATTTTCTAATTTCAATAATGATGTTCATTTAAAATACAATTTATTTATAGCTAAATGTAATTTATAATTTGATGTTATTATCATTTAAAATTGTTATTCATTAATTTTAAACAACTTATTATTAATAATAAGTTAAAGAAGACTTTTAAGAAACACTTAATATTATTATTAAAATGTGAAACATACACTAAATAATAAAGTCATAAGATAGACAATTTGATTTCAAAAGAGACTTGCATGGATAATATGACATATCCATATAATTTGATTTTATTATTTATAATTATTGCTTATTAACTTTAAAACCACTTGTTATTATTAATAAGTGAAAGAAACTTTTAAAAAACACTTATTATTATAATTAAAATGTTAAACATATACTAAAATATAAAGTGATAAGATTGACAATTTGCATTTTAAAAAATGCTTACATGTATAATATATATAATATGACATATCCATGATTTTTAATTAATTATTGTTTTGAAGCAACATGAACATACAAACATGTATACAATAGCTAATTAAATATTATATATATCACCTTTCATAACATATGATCGATAACATGAATCTAATCTAATTTACATTAAAACTTCAACCACAACATACAATTATATTCTTAAAAGAATACTTAAATCAAGAAAATACAAAAAAGAATTAGTATATAACAAACTTACAAATTCAAAACTTCAACATAATAACATGACTCGAAAAATTGTTCAAAGCCTTCAAACCAATACAAAAAACTTTAAACTTGTTTTCTTTGTGACTTTTGTATGTGATTTGTATTTGTGTGTCTACTCAAAAAGATTGACATTTTTATAGTAGAGTATCCATTAATTGTTTATTAAATATATTATATAAGTTATAAAACCTTTGAATTGTTAATCATTATTAAGAGACTTTTGAGTGATATTCATTAAAATAGGAGGTTTCAAATGAATGAGGTGTTTGCAAATTTTTATGGGGGTTTCAAATAAGGAAAAATGCTAGCTTTATAAGTAATAGATATATATATATATATATATATATATAATATATATAATATATAGATATATATATATATATATAGAGAGAGAGAGAGAGAGGAGAGAGAGAGAGAGAAGAGAGAGAGAGAGCGAGAGAGAGAGAGAGAGAGAGAGAGAGAGAGTTGTGATTAACACACCATATTATATTTAAGCGATGCATAAAAAATCTCATAATTACATCTAAATAAATTTAAACCAAAAAAAAAAAAAAAAGTTAGTGCTAGAAAAAGAGGGTGATTGAGTTCAATCTTTGGGGACATCCCTATATCCCTACTATGTACTAACTACAACAATACAACCCACTAGACCCATTGACTAACTTTGTCTTTCTCTCGTTTAGGCATGATTTACAAAATCATACTTCACTTGATTAGCAAAATTTGTGGGATTAATATTAAATATCTCAAATACTTTTCTTTAAAAAAAATTCGCCTCATTTCCTATCTCGTAAGTGTTTTGTTGGTTAGCTAGTGAAGTTTTAATATATGTATTACTCATAATTTATAGGTACCATTCGTTTTCCAATTTCATCCCTTTTATTTGATTTTTTGTCTTTTTTTGTTTTTTTCCTATTTTGTTTTTTTTGTTTTTAATTCTTTTTAATTATTATTATTATTATTATTATTATTATTATTATTATTATATTTGATTATTATTATTATTATTATTATTATTATTATTATAAATTTCGCACAAAATTTTAACATTCGGACGGCATTATAAATTCAAACGGCTATATAAAATCGTTTTTTAAATATTTTTTTATATTTTTTAATTACGGACATAAAAGTCGTTCGAATTTTATAATGTCGTGCGAATTTATAATGTTTACCGAATTTTAAAATGTCATCCGAAATTTAAAATGTTGTCCAAATTTTTTTTGATTATTGAAATTTATAATAATAATAATAATAATAATAATAATAACAATAATAATAATAATAATAATAATATTAAAATATAAAATAAAAGGAAAAAAAATCAAAAATGAAAAGAAAAAAAAGAAAAAGAAAAGAAAAAAAGAAAAAAATAATGTCAAATCAAAAGTAAAAAGTTGATTTGATTGATATTAGGGGGTAAAATTACTTATAGCACAACCCTTAAATACATACCAAAATATTATGTAATAAGTTATTATAAATATTTGCTGTTTCATATGCAATTTACATGGTTAAAAAAAAGTACATTTGACAATCATACGTTACCATTTGAAAAGGAGAATAAAAGATTCCACTTCTCTCAACAGCTTTATTATTAGAGTATATGAAATGATTATGAAGGATTATTTTAAAAATACATTAATATTTAAAAATATATGCAGAATTTTTGTTGTTTAAATTACTTTTTCTCAAAAATTAAGTATTAATGGAAATATTTAATGGTAAAAATAAATAAAAAAAAACAATTAGAAAGATATTTTATTAAAATAAATTTATATTAAATAATGTTAATACAAATATGATTTCATAAGAATAAAAAATACTTAACAATCATCAATACTCTTTATTAAAACTTAAATAAGCCAAACTTCATAAAAAAAATTTGTCTTCAAGGTCTTGTTGCAAACGAAGTGTACCAACCTTCAAATGATTGTACCAAGGTTGAAACTATAATTTTATGTTCCAAGTTCTTACCACCGTATGACCTCATTGTTGTATAAGTAACTTTCTACCCATAAAATATGATTTTCATTTCCGCACTTTGTATGGGGCATTTTAGTAATTTGATTATAGTTGATTAACAATAAAAAAAATGTCAAATGTCAAAATAAGTTCAATATTTTGTTTTCAAAGTGAAATAAATAAGTAAATTGCCAAAAGGAGCTAACTTGATGAGTAAATTTCAAAGAAAATCGACATTAAAAGATTTTTGGTCTATTGATATCATGAGTTCAAGTATAAAACACCCCAAAATTTGGGCCTATAAAACACTCCAAAATTTATCTAGTGATGTTTACTTGATATAAAGTATAAACACTCTAAATTTGAGTTTATCCATATATAAATTTGAGTCACTAAGTTTCAATCTTTGATAAATAGACAATTTTCCATGTTGATTTTTGGAAAGTGTGAATTATGAAGTGGATTGAAACATAAGGGGTAAAAGTGTTAATTCCATATTCCTCTGACACACACGCTTACATATACTACAGCACTCACATGACTACTCTGTTTCTTCAACCACATATACGAAACAACCAGACAAACCCTAGCAAGTACCATTTTACATATTTCATCCTGTGCATTTAATATTTATATATTTATTAAATATATTTTTTCGGATAAATTTCCAAATGAACTGTTAAAAAGTAATATATGCTCTTCTCTCTCAAGAGTAAAAAGAGAAAAAGCTTTACTTACTCTCTGATTCGGTACTTCATCGCCATTAAACAAACACCTTAAACCAACCAACTCTCTCCTTCTTCTTCCTCCTTTTTAACTTCCTTCTTTTTACCACCATCACTTTGTATTCTGGCTCTCCCAACTATGGAAGCTTTCAGCTTGCTAAGGTACTGGAGGAGTAATGGCGGTGATGGAAGCGCCAATGCTAACGTAACAACTTCCGCTGCTTCACCCTCCGCCACCACCATTGTTACAGCAGTCAGCACCCAAACCTCCGACACAGGAGATGACGAAGACGACGAGAATGATCACGGACCGTTTTTTGACTTGGAGTTCAGTTTACCGGCGGAAGGAGGAGATGATGAGGATACCAAAGACGGTGACACAGGAAACGGTGTCGATTATGGCGAGGAAGAGGAGGATGAAGAAGATGAAGAGGAATCAGATGAGAGGGAGTTGAAGTTCACGCTTTTGTCTGGTTCCAGTGGTGATAGTACGAATGATGCGAATGTTTCGGTTTCTCCCTCCGATGAGTTGTTTTTCAACGGCGGTTTCGTTCCTGTTGACCAGACGACGGAGACTAATTTAAAGCCACCGCAGCTTCGTGTTTCGTTGATGAAATCGGCGACGAAGCTTCGAGTTATGATGTTGAAGTTTAAGAAATCGAATGTTAAATGGAGTGAAAGTTCGGAGGCCAACGCATCTGGTTGTTCGAATTCCAAGGAAGAAAAACAGACAACAGATCAAACCGGAGAAGATGAAGGTTCCGGCAAGTCGATGACGGTGAAATTTAAAGTGGAAGAAGTTCCGATTGTGTCTTTGTTCAAGAGACATAACAGTTCAAAGGCTCCAAAAAAGCGACAAAACGACGACGTGGTTTCTGAGGAGAAGAAATTTTCAAAGGAATCGATGCAGAAGTATCTGAGAAAAGTGAAACCTCTATACGTTCGTGTTTCGAAGAAATACGGCGAGAAGTTGAAGTTTTCCGGCCAACTAAACTTACCACGAGCAGCCAAGTCGAATATGGTAGCATCGCCGGCGTTGGAAGAACAAAAACAGTCTCCTAAGAGAGAAAAGGAATCGATTCCAGAAGTTTCAGAACCACCGCTTCTGATGAGCAACGCCAAAGGACTGAAACAAGGCAACTTACCGGCCGGACTTCGCGTTGTTTGCAAGCATTTAGGAAAGAGCCGGTCCGCTTCTACGGCGGTGGTCGCCGCCGCACCTCCAGGAACAATGTCGTCAAAACGTCGCGACGATTCGTTACTACAACAACAGGATGGGATACAGAGCGCCATTTTACACTGCAAGAGATCATTCAAAGCGTCCAGAGGTAACAAAATCAATCAAATTTCATTTAATCATGATTTTTCAACAATTGATATACTTCAATAATACTCCAAACATCTCAAAGTTATCAAAGTTCGTTGAAAAAATTACAGATTCAGGGTCGGATTGTTCATCAAGTTTATCAAGATCAGGCAGCGATCCGGCGGCGGCGTACGTTAAAAGCTCAAACAGTTCGTCGTCCGATGCGGCGGAATGTAAGGAGACGGTGGAAATCAACGACAACAAAAGCAAATGAGATAAATGATCGTAGTCAAAAAGCGGAAAAATCATATGGATTTTTCAGGTTTTGATGTTGATTGTGATAAAAACGAGGAAGAATTGAAATGAGTTTGCAATAATCAATCGAGTAGAGAGGGCCATAGTTGGTAAATTATGTAGTCAATGGAATGCCCCCACAGTAGTAAATTAGACATTAATGGAGTCCTGTAAAGCTTCTGTAACATCGTATAATAACTTACTTAATATTATTATTATATTTATTATTTTTATCTAATTTATTATTTGTTAATTCATATCCATTTTCTTTTTAAAAAAACATGTTTTTGATATATAATTAATGAAATGAATTTGTCATTTGGATAAATATTCAAGATTGCTTCTTGATAAGAAATAAATAATAATTGTAAATGGAATCGAAATTATTAAATCAAATTAATGATTATACAAAGGTAAAAGTAAATACAACAAGAAGAAAGTCGCATTATTCTTTTATTATAACGTATATAATAATAAATGTTGCATTTTTAGATCTATTCTGCATGTGATGATTCTTCCTCTAGCTTTTTATCAATTTGCCATGATTCGTTTTAACCTTTTAATGACTAATAAAGAAATATTATATTTTCTTTATAAAACATATTTTAATGCATTTTTTAGATTCTTATCAAACAGATTGGTAGAATATATGTTGTGATATTTTTTTATTTTAAACTAGGTGTAAGACCCGTGTATTACACGGGTTTATTAAAAACAAAAATTTAATATGAATATATGAACATTAAATATTTTATAAAATAATGTTTTTCAATAACAAAATGTAATTTTTTGGAGCATTTGTGAAAGAAATCAAATCATTTGGAGCATTTATGAGAATTTATTATCAAATTAATAGAATGATTTTTTTTTGAACCGGCCAATAAAATTATAATAATGAAAGAAAAAGAACATGAGAAATAGAGACAGCCACAAGCCAGTGGCGGAACAAAAAGTCCAAAAACAAAATTTGTGGAACAAAAAGTCCAAAAACCAAATGCAGAGAAAACAACATGAAACAAATGACAGATTAAAAGAAAGGGATTGAGACCAATTTGCCCCGGCTAATTCCGCCATCTTACCCCTGTTCTTCACCCAAAGAAAAGTCACAAACTTAACTATTTCTATGACTTTATCAGGTGGTAGCCGGTTTTTTTTAAAGACTCTTTCATTCCTTGCCTTCCACATACACCATAACATACCATAACAAATTACCACAATAATTTTCTTTCTTTTTGGGCACGACCCCCATGTAGCAACAAAATCCAATAAATCGTTCACCTTGTTGAAACCACCAGCTTGCACATTACACCACCTCCATATCCCATTAGCCACCTTTTTTGCAAAAGAGCAATCCACAAGAGCATGGTCTGGGCACTCATCTTTCTCCTCGCACATACGACATGTCAATGTTTCCAAGTTTACCCCTCTTTTTGAAAGCTCCGTTGCGGTAGGAATTCTACCATATTTCACCCTCCATATGAAACATGATACTTTCAATGGTATTTCTTTAATCCATTGGACATTATAGATACTGATGGGGGGCTGATAATCACACCTTTTTCTAAGGGCGCACACTGTAAATGATCCGTCCGAGTTTAAACCGCATCTCCATTGATCTCGAGTGGTACCTGATTGCTTGGATATCACAGAGCTAACAGGGATTTCAAATTTCGTGAGATCTTTCTGAATGCCTGCAATATTGTTCCATACTCCTGCTAAAGACTTCAATGAGTAGCAGTCATCAGGTTTGGATCGAAGATTGTGCAAGCAGTTGATGACTACAGCCCATAATCGACCCGGCTCGGTTTTGATCTTCCACCACCATTTCATTATAAGGGATATATTAAGAGCTTTTATCGTTCCGACACCCAATCCACCTGATTCCTTGGAGGCAGTCACCTTTTCCCACGAAATCCAGTGTATTACTTTCTTTTCGTCCGATCCACCCCAAAGGAATCTATTCCTCATCTTTTCTAATATCTCAATTACACCTTCAGGGGCCACAAATAAAGAAAGGTAATAAGTTGGGAGGTTTCCTAAGACTGACTGAATAAGGGTCAATCTTCCACCAAAGGATAGACTTTTAGATTTCCAATTTGAAAGTTTTGCTTGGAATATGTCAATTATCGGTTTCCAATGTTTCTTCAACTTCATATTTGCTCCAACGGGGACTCCAAGATAGGTGAAGGGGAGGGAGGCAGGTGAACAACCAAGGGGACCAGCCCAGTTTTCAACCTCCTGCATATCAGTTCCAATCCCAAAAACCCTTGATTTGTGGAAGTTAACTCTAAGCCCTGATGCAACATGGAAGCAGTGCAAGATGCGTGCTAAGTTATTGATGTTTTGTTTCGACCATTCCCCCAAAAATAGAGCATCATCTGCATATAACATATGAGAAATTGTTGGTCCCCCATTAGGCAGCTTAATGCCGTGAAAGATACCAAGTTCACATGCAGATCTCATTGCTACACTAAGACCCTCCATGGCTGCAATGAAGAGGAACGGGGAGAATGGATCTCCTTGTTTGACACCTTTAGATATCGAGAATTCTTTGGTTGGGCATCCGTTAACTAGAACTGAGGATTTAGATGATACTAGGCAACCTTTTATCCACATTCTCATTTTGTTCCCAAATCCCATGTTCATAAGATTTGAATCAAGAAAATCCCAGTTTATCGAATCAAAGGCTTTATCAAAATCAACTTTAAAAAGTAGGATCTTTCTTTTCGACTTTTTTGCCCATGAACAAATTTCATTAACTACAAGAGGCCCGTCAAGTATGTTCCTGCCCTCAACGTATGCAGATTGTACCTCATCAATACATTTCCCCATGATTTTCTTCAATCTTAACGATAGGATCTTCGATATAATTTTGTAGATGCACCCAATAAGACTAATCGGCCTATAATCGCTAATTAGGAGGGGGTCCTTTATTTTAGAGGCTAGCGAGATAAAGGAGGAATTACATGATGGATCAAGTTTACCATATCGCTCGAAATACTTGACAACCGCATCAATGTCCCCCAGGAGAACTTCCCAGTATTTCTTAATAAATTTAAATGTGAATCCGTCTGGTCCTAGTGCTTTATCGTTACCACACGCCCACATTGCATTCTTGATTTCGCTGAGGGAGATAGGAGAATCGAGAAATTGTCTATCATCAGTTGAGATTTCCTTGAAGTATTGACTTTTAAGTTTCGGTCTAACAGGCCACTTTTCTTTGAATTTATTAGCAAAAAATGAGTAAATCTCCTTTTTTATGGTTTCTGGATCCGTACACCATTTACCATTGATTAGAAGACCATTAATCTTGTTCTTACAATTGTTTTTATTTATATAACCATGGAAAAACCTCGCATTTTCATCTCCATCTACTGTCCATTTGATCCTAGATTTTTGTCTAAGATCAAGGGCCTTAATTTTTTCCAACTCAATAATTGATCTGTACCCCGAACTCCTAGCCTCAATCTCATCAGCTGTTAATTACCTTACCTCAGCTTCTGAATCAAGGTGGTCTACTAGCTTCTTGAGTCGATTCAATTCATATTCCTCCTTAGGGTGATCAGTTGCCCTCCATTTTTTTAAGCCTTTCTTGATATGTTTAAGTTTAGCAGCTAGGTACGAGTCAGGTGTGCCATATCCACTGAAATTGTTCCAATTGGATATAAATGCCTTCTCAAAACCATCCCTCAACAACCAGGAATTAAAGAATCTGAAAGGGGACGAGCCAAAATCTCTGCGATCAGATGAAAAAAGGATAGGACAGTGGTCCGATATTTCTCTAGGAAGAGCAGTGACAGAGACATGAGGTATGAGATTCAGAAAACCTGGACAAACTAAGAATCGATCTAGTTTGCTTAGCTTGAGGTCTGAATTCCGAAAGCATGTGAAACGGTGACCTCCCATTTTCAAATCAACAAGGCTATTATCATGAATGAAGGAATTGAAGTCACCAGCAGCTCTTGGATAGAAGATTGAATTAAGCCTCTCTTCCCTCCTTTTCACCACGTTAAAATCACCCATCATAATCCAAATACCCTCCTTGGAATTTTTTATTTCTGTTAACTCCTCCACAATGCTTTTTTATCTGGAATCGATTGAGGCCCTTATATATTGGCGAAAATCAAATTCTCCCTGATACCATTCCATGTGCCAATGTTGATTAAGTAATGCCGGGAGGAAATTACTTCAATAGAATGGAATAAATTACTGTCCCACATATTCAACAGACCCCCCGACCTGCCCGCTGAATTGACACGATTATCTCCAAAGTCTCATGTACCCCAACAAGCTCTAACATCAATATTCTCAGCCTCTAGTATTTGTGTTTCCTGGATTGCTAAGAAGGATACTCTGTGCCTTAATTTCAAGTTTCTGACCCAATCAATCTTGTATTTCTAACCGATTCCCCTTATGTTGATTGAAAGGAAATTCATTTTGGCACGCTGGACTCTCCAGGTACACCAAGGGTTTCCACCAACATTTTATTATTGGCATCAATCTCGAACCCAATCATGGCACCGATTTCAGCAGTTACTTCAATTTCACTGATTTTCGACAAATTGTTAGAATCTGGTGGTTTGGGGGAAGATGTCGGCTCCACATTAGGTCGGAGAGCCTGTAGCTCTGAAGTATTCGCCTCTCCACCAATGAAGAGGGCTTTGACTGGTAACGATGTATATCTTGACGGAGAGAGAGCTTGAGTACGCCGTTTTTTCTGGACGATCGATCATTGATACTTCCCTGTAATTGAGAGGCTTGATCGTTGGGGGAAGGGGTTGACCTGGTGTAAGGGAATGGACCAAAGCAACCAGACTGGGCTAAACGTGGAGGGAAGGAGGTGGGCCGTGGTAAGCCCAATGATGTTTGCTCCATGTTACAGTCAACAGGTTTGTTTGAGTCAGCCGTGACCTGACCGTATTCATTAATCTTTTTATCACATGTTTTCTTATCATTTATTATCACAGTTTCATCAAGAAGCGGAGCAGCTACCTCTTCGTTAGAATGCACGCCAGGCTGTTGGGTTTCCAAGATCGCCGGAGACGCTTGGGAAGAATCAGTGACAGTTTTCTGCACACCGGAGGAGGTTACATCTCCGGCTCCACCACGGTTCCTTGAGTCTATTTTTTTATTACCATCACCGACTATTTTGCCATCTTCAATGTCATCTATCCAAGTATCTGATATACCCTCTTCATCTTCAGAATTGACCATCTCTTCATCTTTATCAGAGTCAGCCACTTCCGATTCATGATCAGCATTAGCGTCTGAATAGTACTCGTATGGTTGTTCAATGTTGTTAAACCGGAAGGGAAACCATGGTTTGTCTTCATATTCAACCACCCCAACATCGAAGGTTTTTCCCCCAGCCTCAACCCTTATTTCTTCATTGATCTTTTTCTTTTCCTCAGTAAGTATACCAATTTTTACTACTGAGAGATCCAATATATCCGCAATGTGATCAAAAGGAACGATGATTTTCCCAAGTTTCCCAATTATGGCAGAGAAATTAGAATCACACTATAGACTGATCGACAATCCGACAATCCTTACATTTGCTACACGTTCAAACCTGTAGTCAGTCTCCTCACCCATCCTGATGTAGTTGAATATGTTCTTCCAATTACTGTCATTCTTCAAAAAATCCTTAGCCATAACCGATGAGCCAAACTCAAGAATTGCCTTCATTCCTCCAGCATACTTGACCTTCATTCCCATGTCGCTGTGAGTAGAAAGTAACACCGAAAGATGACCAAGATGATCTAATGACTTTACTTCCCTAATAAGCATATGCCCATTAATCCAACGCACCATCCTTTCATCAGTGACCAACCGAATATGTGCATGTTTGGGTGACATTTCCTGTGGGGGAATATTACCTTTTGTACCAGCACCAACAACTTCTGCATAGGATCTGCTACTAGTGAACCCACCTCTGACATTAATTGGAATCGGGTCATGAAGATTTCCCCCCTTTCTCATATCTCTAATTGGCGGCATTTGCCCTGGTCTTTCATGCCTTGCAATATTTATCTCCAGCTTATTATTTTTGCATAGCATACCATTCATATTTGCTTCCATCAACTTCTTATCTTTGACTCCAGCAAAACGGATGAAACCAAAGTTCTTCCCGTTTTTCCCTTTTCTTACGGCAAAATAGATGTCAGAAATCGTCCCAAATGGCTTGAATATTCTCCTGAACTCATCTTTCGTAGCCCCATTAGGAATATTCGAGACGAAATAGGTTGTGATGTCATCTCCGTTCCGACGATTCGCCGGTTTTTTTCTGTGCCTTACCTCCGTCCATCCGTCTCCCGTGGGTGCCATTTTTTCTATTGATAATTAATAGAATGATAACCTTACATATATATAACACATTAGAATTTATTGAAAATTTATTTTAAGAAAATTGAAATCCCCAAAAAATGACAAGTGAAAAATAATAATTTTAAAATCCTAGAAAATGACATTTGTCAAAATGAAGGAGAAGATGACAAGTGGCAAAAGTATTTTCATTTATTAGGTAGGATTAAATTAAATTTCTGGTTATTTATTGTTGCCTCGTTATAAAAGCTTATTGTTGTTTTGGACTTTTCTATAAATCTAAATACTTATTTTGATCTTCAAGGTATCTTTTTTTCTTCAGATCAAAACTTACCTTAAAAAACTATTATTATTTTGAATTAATTAAAATAAAAATTATAATCTTTTTCTATGACAAATCTAATATATTCTTAATTTCATTTATATATAAGTCGGGGCATGAACCTTCTATTCAAGTAGAAACGATAACATCTGATAATAATGGGCAGAAGCTCTTTGTTATATAATAAATATCTCGGATCTTATATTAGAAGTGAGTACAATATTTTTTTTAATGTTTTACAAAACATGTAGTTTAAAAAGTATGTTAAGCCAATAAAAAAATTATTTAGTAAACAGATTTAAGAAAACGATATCACAAAATTTATCTTTTCCGTATAAATAGGTAAATTGAATTTTAAATTCTACTGTAAAAAGTTATCTTATTGATTATCCAGAATAGAAATAATTTTATCCATTATTATTTGGCATGAGAAATAATGATCTTTATTAAATCATAAATATAGCAATATAGGTTTGTACTTTCTGGACATTGAATTGTATTGTCTCTTTATTAAAGGATAATGTTTGGGAGCGAAAGAAAGTGGTTTTTTTTGGGGGAAGAAAGAGGTCAAAGTGGGGAAAGTGTGCCAAAGTGGTCAACTCAGCTTAACCTTGTGAATGTGGGGCTTAATCACTGTTAGAAAAAGACGTTTACGCTTTTTTCTCCTTTTAATGTCTTAATTATCAAAATACAAAGCTTTTATAATTTTATTTCTAGTTATTCAAAAAAAAAAAAAAAATTGTGACTTTCATATTATTATATAATCATAATTTTTCGAATTTTAAGAAAATGACCAACAATTTTAAAAACAGGAGTGGAAGCATGAAAGACATAGTATGTGTTCCCGAGGTTGAAGTACGGTAAAAAAAACCGAATTTTTTTTCCACTGCAAACAGACAAGGTAGATATTACCGGTGCCACTATGGGCACCTATACAAAACCGACACTGCCTGGTAATACACATATAATTATTCTAACATAAAAGTTATCCCATTAAACCTTTACCTTTACGGTTATGTTTTGTTATTTGTGGACTATATTAATAAAACAATTACTGACTCCATCTAACAAGGCTTGATATTTTTTACAAGCAACTGTTTTGTTCGTGAGTATTAATGTTTTGTTTGTTTCTGTCGTAAACTCCAAACCATGCATATTGGAGTCAAAATTTCTACTTGCTAGTTACTCGTAAGAGCCTATATTTTCCTTCTACTTAAGAGTTAGGAGATCATAACTTTATGTTTTTTTTATGGTTATTGCAATGTAATTATTAGGGTCGTTCGAATTGTAGGTCAACTGTTATAACTTGTTTTCGATCGTGTTTTCATAAAACAACACATCAGTATGTCATGCAATCGATTCCAATTGTTGGTGTTTCGTCAACCTTCTAATGATTACTCCATATGTTTAAGATGAACACAAACGTAATATAAGGAAAACAAACGACTAATAATGATATCCGAAAGTGAAGGAGGAGAAGCCATCCTAATAAAAACCTTCATACTGCAAAAAAACCTTCGTTAACAACATTACCCATTATGCGTCAAAGATATTTTCAACAAATTTGTTGTTATATAGCAAATGCATTGTTGGTTCGTTACTTAGCAATCGACAATCTGGCTATTGTCATGTTCTTGTTCCCTAATAGGTGTGTTGTCTGCTATTGAGCAATAAACAAGTGTCTTATGTAACGCTCTATTCTGAATCAATTCCTAGTCTGAGGTTGTGGCCCGAAGATCCGTCATCATCAGGATTAGGGCTTTTGAGAAGGTAAGATCTAGGCCATTTGGGTGCGGGTGATGTATTAGAAGTGATCCGGGTGTTCGGTTCGTGTTTTGAGGCCTAGGGGTATTTCGGTAAAGTGGCAGTTTGGGCTTTTGTGGAAAATGGACTTTTGTTCGGAAGGTCTTAAGGAAGGTATGAGTTGATAGAAGTGTAGGGCTTCTCGTCACCTTTCCGTGGATATAAGGATCGTCGGAATCGGGTTTAGTCGAGTACGCGGGGCGTACACAAAGCGTACGTGGGCGTACACAAAGCGTACGCGGGGCGTACTAGTGAAGAAGGCAGTACGCGGGGCATACCTTGGAGTACGTTGGGCATACTGACCAGGATGGTCGCGAAGGTTCCAAGGAGTACGTTGGGCGTACCATATGTACGTTGGGCGTACTCCAATCATATCAGAACCCTATTTTAGGGTCTTAGACCCTATTTAAGCCCCTTATCTCATAACCTAACCCTAATATCTTCAGCCTCCACCCCTCTAAACCCTAGAAATCGTCATATATCATCCATGGTGACATTTTGAGCTTATGGAGTCCATTTTTGGGATGTTTGGCCCATTTTCAAGAAGATGGAGCTTGTTGCAAAGATGGGAATCAAGGAGAAGCTTATGGATCTGGCCTTTTGGACTCATTCTCAGCTTGATGAAGGTATAAAGCTTTGAACTTGGTCATTCATCTCTTAGATCTACAATTTGTGAGTTTTTGTTCATTTTGGTCCCAAGTATGAGATCTAGTGGCCTTGATTTCATTCCAGGAGCTTTGAGTTGCCCCTCTTAGTGTTTCTGAGGTTCAAGGTCCATAAAGTTGGCACCTTTAGAGTTTAAGACCATCTATGTTGGAGTTTGAGACATTTCCATGAAAGTAGAATGCTATTTGGTCTTGTTGGGGCATGAAAAGTCACCAAGTCCGTGACTTTATGGATTTAGACATTATATGGGACTCGGATATGTGGTTTGGATTTATGACTTAAAGCATTAAGTGCTTAATGGCAGAAGTGAGACTAGAGGGTAGTACGTTGGGCGTACAAGCCAGTACGCGCAGCGTACTGCTAGGTACGCCCTGTGTACTCATCCAAGTTGGATTTTGGACTTTGGGCTTCGGGTTGGGGCCATCTACTTAGGTCTAGATTCTTGGGCCCTAATGGATCATCAGAGTGGTTGTGTTCTGGACTAATTGAAGGATTGGATCTTAGGTTAAGGCCCAATAAGGAGTGTGGGCCCAATTTGGAAAATTGGGCCATACATGGGCCTTTATGGATTTTATGGTTTTGGACTTTGTGTTTTGGGCCCTATTGGGTCATCAGGTTTTGGGGTTGATGTTTATTTGTGGACTATTGGGCTTGGGCCCACTTTGGAAATTGGGCCATTAATGGACTTAGGGACATTATAATGCCAGGCTTTTGTTTTGGGATTGGGCCTTAGTTTTGGATCATACTGGGTCAGTGGTAGAATGGTCATTTTACCCCATGCATGGATTAAGGATTATGGTATGGGACTCAATTGCTAATTGGGTATATTGATTGGTAGTAACAGCTCGGGAAGCTGGCGGGGCAGCAGCTAAGGAATTCATACGGAAAGCTTCTGCAGTGCAAGGTGAGTCTCATCACCATACCAATGGGTCTAAGGCACCAAGGCCGGCCCATTCAGTTAATTGTAGTGTTTATTGTAGATTCACTACTGATATGCCTGATATGCATGTATATGTGGTATGCTAGTGATTATGTGGTATGCTATTGACTGTGTGGTATGTGTTATGCTAGTTGTCTTTGTGATACTTGCATGGAAGACCATGGGGGGAGCCCATGGCACCGGATGTAAGACCATGTGGAGAGCCCATGGATTTCCTATTAAAGACCATGGGGAGCCCATGACACTTGGATTTAAGACCATGTGGAGAGCCCATGGCTTTCCTATTGAAGAGCATGGGGGAGCCCATGACACTCAGGTGTAAGACCTTGGGGGGAGCCCATGGCATCCTGGAGTAAGACCCTGAGGACGAGCCCATGACATCCTTATATGTTTATGTATGCATGGCTTGCGTGGTAGATATATCTTGTATAGCTAATATGATATGTGGTATGTGGTAGAGATAGCTTTTATAGTTAATATGATATGTGTTATGTGGATTGTGTGTGGGGTGTGCTCTGCAGGACTCACTAAGCTTTGTGCTTACGGAATACTGGATGCCATGCTAGAATGAGAATGATTCTTGGTATTGATAACTGCTAAGTGTATATTTTAAAGATTGTATACGGTTAGGATCTTATAGCCTTAGAATAATTGGTTTGGCTCGTTTCCTGTTTTGTGTACAATTTGCATGCATAATGCAGCCGACAGTGAGAGTGGACGTGAGAGCATGGTTTGTAGTACGTGGACTGAATGTCCGATGATAGTTTCGTAGGTCGGAGAGTGCCCTAGGGAGAGCCTATGATGAGATTAGTGACAAGTGTTACCTGCTTGCGGATTGTACGGGTGGATAGACTGACTTATCTAGTGTACGCTGGTTAGATTTACCGATTACCTAAATGTTGCTTGCTTTGTGCTTTGTAGGACTCTTATTAATGTGAGTAGCTATTAAGTGAATATGCTTAGTTACATGTAGCACATAATGGATAATCTCAGAGTGATGGACTTGACCCTATTGCGCAACTCTCGTATGAGTCCAACCGTTCTAGGGATGAGTCTTTTACTTGAAGGATTATCTGATCTCTACTACATGTGGCTATATTCATGTGGTAACTAATTAACATTAATGAGAATCTTTCAGCAGCTGAGGCAGGGTGAGCTTGGGAACCTAGGAAAGCCTAGGATATGCTCCAGTGAGCTTAGTGGGGCGGTTTGGTGAAGTTGGGAACTTAGGGGAAGCCTAGGAGGTGCTACGGTAGAGATCGTGTTGCTGTT